GTGGAGACGGTTGTACACGCCTCTTTCTACCGCGCAAACGCTGAATACTATAAGGTAGGAATTTACCTCTACCTGTGCTCAGTATCGACTCTGATAATCTATAGGCCAAGCATGAGTTTGCCGCTTATTATAAAAACGCCCTCCTCTTCCTCGCCTGCATCGACCTCGATGACCTCGACCTACGCGAACGTCAAGCCCGAGCCTACGACCTCAGCATTGCTGCTCTGGTCTCGGACTCCATTTACAACTTCGGCGAGCTACTTCTCCATCCGATCCTCGACTCCCTTGTAAATACACCCCACTCCTGGCTGCGTGACCTATTATTCGCATTCAACCGTGGAGACTTGATCGCCTACGACGTCCTCGCCGGCAATATCTCGAAAGTCCCGCTCCTCAAGGAACATCAGACCTTCCTTTATCAAAAGATCTCGCTTTCCGCGCTCACAGAAACGGTGTTTCGACGACCACCACATGACCGTGCGATGACGTTCGCTACAATCTCAGAGGAGACGAAGGTTCAGCCGAACGAGATCGAGCATTTGATCATGAAGGCGCTGAGTTTGGGTTTATTGCGGGGAACGATCGATCAGGTGGCAGAGATTGCGAGGATTAACTGGGTGCAGCCGAAGGTGCTCGACATGAAGCAGATTGAGAGTATGAGGTCGAGATTACGGGAGTGGGATGCGAGCGTCAACCAGCTCGGCAACTGGATCGAGGGAGTTGGAAAGGACGTCTGGGCTGCGTAGGTTTCGGTCAGTATCGCAGTGTGCGTAGCATCAAGACGCGAATGATGGGCGTTTAGGAAAGCCATTACAGGCATAGATGGTAGAATGTAGTCATAAGCATCGGCCTGGCGAATGGGCTCGGATAATGCCCGAATAGCTAGATATGAATGAAGGACAAATCAACCGCATCAATATAATCGACCGAGCTTTGAATTTCTAACACGCTTTTCCTCCCACGCCCGATATCCTCCTACGTGAATAGTCCACTCCACATAACAACACTGCCGGCAAACCACGCCGGCCACCAAGCCAGCCAAACAACAACCTGGGTCCACAACCCCCAAACGTGCCATCCCTCCGCCGCCTTAACCAAAATGTCCACAACATCAATACCCCAATACAGTGTCGCAACTTTGATAACGATGACCGGGTTTAGTGCCGCGAGAAGTAGACTACCAACCACACTAATCGCCCCCCGATTCCTCGTCGCAAAACCCTCCACCTCGCCCTTCGGCGCGGGATACAAGCCGCGAACAAATGACAGCGGCGACGCAGCGATACCAACAAGGAAGGACAGCGAGAAATTCAGCGTCGCCAGAGCCGCGAGGAACATGCCGAGGAACAGAAGCGAGAAGCACTGGATCAATGTAGTTTCCTGTTCGGTCGGGCCTCTGAGAATGTGGAGTAGGGCGGCGGTGAGGAAGGGAAGGACAGAAGTCATGCTCATGGCTAGGCTATATGCGAGGAAGAGGGAGGGTTTGGGGGTGTTGTTGAAGATGTAGAGGGGAAGGAGGCCGAGGAAGTGGGTTGAGAGGACGAAGGCTAGGGGGAGGAAAAGCGGGCGTTCTGTTATCTCTATGGCGGCTGTCGGAACGATGGAGATGTCGCCATTCCTTCTTACGACGGTTGTTGGAGGGTTTTCTTTTTTGTCTTTCGGGGATTTGGAGGGCGAGGCTAGTTTGGGCATGCTTGTTGAGCGACCACTAGCTACCCATAGTGCGATTGAGGTAATGCTGAAGTTAACTGCGATGACCATGGCGCTGGGGAGGTAGGTGCCGATGCTGACGAAGCGGTTTGCCTGCATGAGGAGATAGAAGAAGAAGCTCTGATGAAAGTGTTCGAGGAGGTTGTTCAGACTTCTGAAGAGCGATTCAACAGTGCGGCCGAGAGACATCTCATCGTGCCAACCGTCACCAACTGTCTGAAGAGTTATTGCGTCGACATGGTATGGGATGAAGCTGCTATGGGGTCCGGAAGCGTGGCCCAGGCCCTGGCTAATCATGCCTCTAAGCATAGTTGTGAGACGGTCTTGATACTTATCATCGTGCTTCCACATTCGCTGGAGAGTGCATCCAATGCCCATCTGACCGCTAGCAATATTGACAGCTGTATTGAAGAGATCGAGGTTTGGGAGTTGTCCGTTGACGCCATCGTATACAATGTGCAATTTGTCGTAGCGATGACCCCACGGTCCCGCGGGGTAGTCGACAGCTACGGCACCTTGCAGCGCACCGCTTTTGATAGATAGGGACTCGACGTTATCCGGAGAATGAGAGTCATGATAGGCGTCGACCCAGGCTTGCGGTCCTGAAGTACTGTCCCCAGAAATTAAAAATATTATGTCCTTGCTCCACAATGACCATCTCTTGAAGTAGCGAGCTAGGGTGAGGACCAAAGCAACGCCAGAATGATTGATCTCGCCTGCCATATTATTCCATGCTGCGATTAAGACGATAGCCTCGGTGGCATCGGCGCGGGGTCCTTGGAGGACAGCGTAGACGTTCTGGTTCGAGATGTTGCGGCCTGAGGCATGATACTCGTAGTTTTGTGTCGCAACTCTTAGGTTGTTGGAGCGCAAGATATCTCCTAGATGATTATTCCTCCTATTCTATCCATTAGTAGGTGGTGCATGTCACAGTGATGTGTAGCCATACTCTTGCGGTGACTTTTCCACTTGCGATGCTACCTCATGTCTATATGCCCTAAATATATTATGCTCACTGCCGGTAAAGTATGTATGGACTTGTCCCGGTAGCAGCGCATTCTCAGAGACGTATGTACTTCGCGAGTACTCGTTTAGCGGTAGGACAAGCAACCAGGCAATACCTCCAAGGATGCAGAGGAGGGACAGGTATGGGGGCACCTTCAGAATTCGGGGATCCCTCCGGAGGGCGAGTACCGTAGCTTTATTCAATTAGCACGCTCTCCAAACATACAGAATTCAGACTTACATAGGAGCGCCATATTCCACACCCCGGCGAGTGGACTTCCGTGGTGTTGCGGCTCTACGATCGCCGTTCGGGGGAGCGCTCCCTAGTGCGTGACTTCCGACCCCAAATTATTTTGGCGACAGCTCGCCGTCGCGCACCTCAAAGCCACATTTCACATCTCTGAGTCGTTGCACGTCATGCCTTCTCTTCCGCAGATTAATCCTTTGCGGATACGTTCGTATGTCTTCCGCTTACCGCTGTGCACGCGTCTTCTGCTCGTTATTATTGTAGCGCTATGGGCCGCGACTATCCCAGTCGACTGGTTGAGGGAATGGGCGAGCTTGATTCCAGACAAGGTTGGATTAACTTCAAGTAAGTAGGAGTTTCCCCTTGTCTGGGGAGAAGTTGTTCTCTATTTCACGAAGTCAAACTGGTGGTCGTTGTGGTTCTAGCACTTCCTAGGCTTCCACGAGCAATGCAACGAGGAAGATAGCCGCGGAATACCGGAGAACCTCAATATGATTCAAGATGGGGTACAGAAAGGCTTCAGGACCTATGGGCTGTTTCAATCTTGCCAAAGTTCTATGCGTTATAGTGCTAACAATTCTCCTGCAGTGCACCGTCTGAATACCTTTCCGCTTATGCATCTCAATTTTCTCCATATGATATTCAACATATTCGCCCTGGCGCCCCTTCTTGAACGATTCGAAGCAGAATTCGGTACCTTGGTTACACTGGCATTGTTCACTGGCCGTAAGCAAGACATGGGAATTCCATATGGATAGGAGATTTAACAGGATTCTAGCATTTGGCTTACTCCCAGGCGGCATATATGTTTTATTGGAGAAGTATGTTTTGAGGAGTAATACTACAGTTATGGGCGCGAGGTACACTTCGACTATAATTCTTTTGCAGGGATATGCTTACACAGATAGCGTCTGGGTCTTTCTGTTGCTCGCTTCAGAGGCCATGAAGACGCAAAAGGCGAATCCAAATTTCAGCATTGGGCCTTACAAGATACCTACCTGGACAACTCCTTTGATTTTGGTCTTCATTATCAGCTTTCTCGTCCCGAACGTAAGCCTAGTCGGACATCTATGCGGCCTAGGAATTGGATATCTTTGTATGTTCTGGTCATCTTCTTGATACACGAATTATACTCTAATGGAGAATCTAGGGGCTCTCGGCTACATCAAGTTCCTCGTTCCCCACGAAAAGATCCTCCGCTGGGTTGAAGGCAAACTCAATCTCCTCGGCCGCCTCCCGCACTATGTCTCCGTCGACCAGAAGACATACGGACGATACGGTGTTCTTCCAACAGCTGTGCCCCTTAGTAACGTCTCGAGGAGTCCTGAACCGGGGCAGCGACTTGGTCCTTAGGCGTCGCTGGGTATCGGCGCTATCGGTCTTCTAGCATTTCTAATAGCAATTTGTGTTAGAGGTTGACTTGTCCAGCAAAATTAGTCTACGTGGCATTCTTTTTATATATGGTGTTTTTGGCGTCTCGCATCTAGAGGGGGTTTCGAAAAAGTTTTGGTATGAGTTTCATTCGCGGAGATGTATTGTTATGGATAGACGTTGTAATATGATTTGCCATGCATGCAGATGCTTTGACTTCGTGGACGAAGATTGCCGGCGTTCAAGAGCGTGTTCTAGACCAATCTTAATGTAGTTCTTGATTGTTGCGTGTTGGGAAGCGAAAGAGATTGTTACCCTTCAATGCCTTGAATGCAATAACAGGAATGCTAGGTGTTGGACGTAATATCACTGATATTCAAAAGCAAAGGAATAATAAATAATGATAGAAGATTTTGGATCACGAAGCTATCACATCCGTCCGTTCTTTACCCTGCACAGTTCGTGTTCCAGCGAGCCACTTTAGCCACTTTCCGTTCTGCGTTATCCAATCATCTCATGCCATCTATCCTAGCGACCCGCTTATTTAACCACTCATAGATAGACATTTGTATTCGGAACCCCACGTCGATTCTTCAATTCACTTTCTTAGTAAATATGCTTTATATAGATCTTACAAAAGGCAATCAGTTCCATGAAGTCGTAAAAAGTCTCGTTGGTGTAGTTGGTTATCACGTGGGTCTCATAGCTTCCATACTATGACTGCTCTGAGTAGCAGCAATCCCAAGGCCGCCAGTTCGAGTCTGGCACGGGACATAAATTTTTGCCCCGATGCGGGTGCGATATGGGAAGAATGCGATCCTTTTGCGCGGATGAAGGGTGGAGATAAACATGTAAATGTATAGTTCTGCCCGTTTCAAGTAGCCATATACCTTCCCCTCTTCGTTTCCCTTTCCTATTTACTAGAAGCGAGGGTTATGTACTCGTGGTGATCTTGGGGAGGACGGGAAGGGAATGAGGGGCATCGAATCACTACCACGAAAGTGTATTTCTTGACCTCATCCAAGATTATTGTGATTGTGTAGATCGTGTAGGTAAAACGTAGGTAACATTCTTGCTATATCCCTTTAGCTCTAAGGAGGACCGAGGAATACAGAGTGCACCTTCCAACCTCCATATCTATCTATGCATTGCCTTTATACATTCCACCTTACAGGGCCTGACCCCTCATCAAATAGGTCAAGCTCGCAGTAATATGCGAACGTGCTAGTTGAACGATAACTCAATTAAATATTACCCCATCTGGCAAGTTTGCGAAAAAGTGTAGATCGCCGGGCTACTGGAGGGGCGAAGGGGCGTGCATAATGCATGCATGTGGCGCTTTTCACCATTCGTCATTGGATAAATCATTGTGGGAAATACAGATGTTATTACAACTATTTTCTGACAGATGGAGTTCTCTAAGATCCGTCCTGTGCTCATTCGCCGGAGTCTAGCATCCCGGCCTCAGGATGGCGGCGCCCCTGGGAAGACATTCTGCTGAAGCTAGCGCATAGAAGGAGTTGGTGGGGTAAGCTAATAGGAATGGGAGATTATGAATAGAAGACACGGAATAATTAAAAGATTACATCTAAGTACAGTGCGAAGCTAACGGTGAATCCGATGGGTCATTTATCACTAGTTAGCATCGATCCTCGCCCACTAAGTTCGTAATCAGCCAAGCGGAGAATCTTTCCAGTCCCGCCCATATTCTTTCCTCCTTAAATGTGCTTCTTGTAGTATTGTTGTTGATACTCCACAGCCTGGAACGCCGCTCTATTCGCCCGTCCCAGCTTCCTCAACATGCATCGCTCGACTAATCGTTCCGCGGTAGTATTTGATAGTCTACGACGGCCCGTCACAACACACAGCTATCGCAGCTAGCCTGAGCTTGGTAGCACGCACCCGGAGCCACGAGAATATACTGTCCAGCTATGTAGGTATAGTAATTATGGTCGCGAAGATTGTACTAGCCGATTGTGAGGGAGCCTTGGACGATTAAGTGGGTGTCGGGACTAGGATGGATGTAGGGATAAGTGCGTCTCGCTAGATGATGCCTTGGTAGGGTTGAGGTGGGAGGAAATGAGTTTCATACAATAGGAGAACGATGGAGCTGACGAGGGATAACCCAGCTGCTGAACTATCTGCTCCGCCTGTCAGGTCCCGGGCGTAAAAATAAGACGATATTGTAGTGTTGCGGACATTCGTAGTGGTGGAAAGGAGATAGGTTACTAATGGTGCTTATCGTCTCTAGGGCGTTTGAGCTATAGACTGGATCAATTCTTTTATAGAGTCAGAATGTTTAGGTATTCGCTCAGTTGTCCCTTGCTATGGAATTGCACATCTATGGATGCCATCCACTGCTTATACTTATAACTCATCGGAGACAAGAATCATTGAAGACTACACTATGAAACATGCTCTAAGATAGCGCAATCTAGTTGGTAACGCGGGCTTAGACACGACTCTGAGAGGTAGGATATGCTTGAAACGGGCCAACGTCATTGAGATTAGGCTTTGAGTTCTGCCCATGAAGTACGGAGAGAAGACACTTAGGACGGCGATAATGAAACAGGTCGGGTATTCGCGTTATACCTCTTCCAACTTCGGTAGAATGCTAGAGCACGTTTTTGTATTAACGCATTTAAAATGAAACAAGAAACCCAAGGTCATCAGGATGCTAGCGGACCGTAAATGTTCATGAAATTGAGTGGGGTATCTAAAACGACATCTCACTAAGGAGATGCACTATTTATTTTGTTCAAATAATCCCGGAGCAATGCCTCCGTACTATCAGGGTCGTCTCTTTCTTGAGAATCTTTCCAATGGCGATAGAACTCAAGGACAACTTCGACGGCGATCAAGGCAATGATGGCCCACTCGAGCCGCAGGCCATGCTTCTCACTGAGATTCTCTCTCAGCACACTGGCGATCTCCTGAGCAAATCCAATCTTCTCGTTTAAGACTTTGATGCGGACACCCACATCTAGAGCCCGGCCGACTTGCTCGTAGTATTCGCCAAGCCCGAGCTCGTGCCGGCTATCCCAGAAAATGTCTGGTAGTGAGTCTGTAAGTTCAGAGTAGAGATTTAGCTGCGCCCGAATGCTTAGCAATTCACCTGTCTTTCGTAGGATGAAGGATCTTGTGAATGGGAGGTTTCTCTTGGCTACCCCCATGTTCTCACCCTTAGCTAGCATTGTAGGGATCAATCTCGTTGAATGTTGATAAGAACTCAGCATGCTTTCTAATACGGCCAGCTTTGTTGACCTGGCTAGCCCAGAAGAGAATGCAATCTTTGCAAGAACGGTGTCAACTTCGTGGCGCTGGTCTGATTCATCCCACTTTGTGTCGCTCTGGGCCCGAACTCCCGGGTCCCTTTGGTAATCATGTCCCTCCGATTCGGCTTTTGTCCCCAGGATAATTGTGTCCCCAATAACCTCGCTACTTTCCTTAGTGGGATCCTCAAGGTAGTCAAGGTCTTCTGTTTCTAAGAGCTCGAGGTGAGATCCCTCTGCAGCAGCGGGTAATATGCGATTGACCAGATGAAGGGCCTCCCTCTCTCGCACATTCCACGTTACGACAGTCCCGGAAGGAAAGATGAAGATATCTCCATGTTGGCTATCCTTGACTTCGGAGGGTCGGTCGGATGTCTGCACATGAACGACTTGGGGATATAGTCCGGTCTGGAAGGGGTCGAGTTCGTATCCTTGCGCTTTGACAAGTCGAGCCGCGGTAGATATGTTGTATGTCTCAGCAGCGCAATAAGCTGTGACGGTCTATTGCGCGTTCAGCGAAGGACAGGAGAACTTCAGAATGTGATGTTACCTTTGTATCCACTTCAGGATCTACGAACCGCTTGTTGCCATGTCCCTTCACAAACCCTCTTGATCGCTGAGCTTCCACGGCTACCCGCCTGAGCGATGATGTCTTGCCGGCATTTTTCCTAGGCGCCTTCCGCTCATCTTTATGGGCATCATCTTTCGCGGCTATCTCTGATGCTACTTCCAGATTCTGCAACTCTTGCTTTTGTGTGAAATCTACTTTCTTCCATGTCGCAGCGGTCGAGGAGAAGGTTCGGGCTGAAAGGTTCGGTTTTGATGGTACAAGTCGCGTGATTCGGACACTTGTGGAGACGAATTGTCGTGTGGTAGGAGCTTTGCTCCTGGTTAAGCAATTCACGACATTGAGGCGGAAAAGAGTCATGGCCGAATGGACCAGGCTACGAGCATCGTGCTCTCCAAAGGAGTGAATTGGTGGGTGGAAGAAACCATCCGACAGTCAAGCTGAAAGTTTGCGGAGCTCTATCCATGCGCACTCCCGAGGCCTTGGCAAATCGACATCATTGGATCCGGGAGTGCCAGAGCATCACCACCTAGCTTCAACCCTCACAAACTCCGGAGCTTCACAGGCGCCTCTCTTTGCATACCGCAGCTCATGCCGCCAGCATGGCTGCGGAGACGGACGAAAACGAGTCGAATGCCGCTGCTCGCGACGAGTCTCGCCTCCAGCGCGTTCTCAATCGCGGCAAAGCGGGCGCTAAGCAGGAATCAGAGGAAGAAGAGGATGATGAGGATGAGGTAGAGGAGGAGCCGAAGCTCAAATACACTCGTTTAACAAGTAGTCTGGGTCCGGTGTACCGTAATGGCGACGCGACGAGCGCGTTCATGGTCGCGGGGGATAAAATGGTACGGCGCATGCTCCCCCACGCTCCCAGGAGCTCCACTTGCGGCGTGCATTGCTGAGTTCTAGGTAGATTATAGGCACACATAACGGCAATATTGTGAGTAGTATCATCAGCTATGCAACCATCACGTGAACAGCGGAACTTACATCAATAGCACGTTCTTACTATACCTTCTTTCCAACCACTCCGCAACTACAACGCTCATCCTTCGGCCTCGGTCACTGCTCTATCGATATCGCCGTTCCCACCCCCCCTTCCCACAGCGCAGCCTAACTCTCCGAGCAGAGCGGCTGAACGACCAGACACGCCTTCAAGACAAGCACCAGCTTCGAACCCGCAGGGAGCTTCCCCGCGGACGCCCCGCCAACAACCGCCTGTACCTGTTACGCCGTCGAATCAGATATACATAGCATCCTCGTCTATAGACGGACATGTTTGTGTCTCCTCTTTAGTTGACCCAAAAGATGTAATGCTCAGAAACTTTGCACGACCTGTGCAAGCAGTAGCATTATCCCCGGAGTACAAATCCGATCGCGCGTATCTCTCGGGAGGCCTAGCAGGGGAGCTGATACTTACCGTGGGTGGCCAGACAGGCGTTCGATCGAATGCAAACACCAGCCACGCCGCTGCCGCTGCTCAAGGTTGGCTCGGCGCGATAGGACTAGGTGGACATTCTGGAAAGGATACCATTCTGCATTCAGGAGAAGGCACTATTAGTACCATTAAGTGGTCTTTGTCCGGGAAATTTGTGGCATGGGTCAACGAGCACGGAATCCGAATTATGCGAACGAACGTGCATTTAGACAGCGCTGATTCGGATTCAGCGTGGAGAAGGATAGGCTTCATTGATAAGCCGAATAGGCGCGCATGGCAAGACATGGCTAGCGTATGGAAAGCTCGACTCGAATGGGTGGACGACAAGCGGCTGGAGTCAGACGATGATTCCATCATAAGCCTGAATGGCAGCCAGTCTATAGAGAAAGACGACCCAACATTACCTCATAAGAGGTTTGACAAGCATCGGAACGAAATTAAGAAGAAGAAAATCGAAAAGCTAGTGATCGGATGGGGGGATGCTGCCTGGATAGTTTAT